ATCTTGTGGTGCATGGCGCGGCCGTCGGGGCGGCCCCGATCGGGTGAGGGCCTGGCCCGGCCGCCATCGTGGCTCAATCCCTCTCCCGTCTCTGTGAGCTTTCTGCGGTGACTCCCCACAGGTAACTCTGAGCCGCTGGTGGAAATCACAAAGTCGCAAGGCTGGAAGAGACCTTCAAGATCGTCAAGTCCAACCATCAGTGCATCACCACCGTAATCACCTCTAAACTGTATCCTCGAGTGCCATGTCCAGATTCCTCTTGAACGCTTATAGAGACGGTGAATCCACCACCTCCCCAGGCAACTTATTCCAATACCAAATCACTCTTTCAGAGTCGTTTTTTTTTTTTTTTTTTCCCCAGATCCTTCATGAGGTTACCTTTTCCCTTTTCTGATTTATTTCCAGCACCTCAATGTCCTTCCTGTTTAAGGCCATTGCCTCTCATCCCCTCACTTGAGACACAGCAGAAGATGTGAGGTGCCTCAGGGAGGCAGAGATTAACTCTCACCTCACCAGAATCTCCCTTCTGGGACTTGTAGAGGGGGTGAAGGTCACCCCTGAACCTCTTTTTTTTCCAGGCTAAACAAACCCTGTTCCTTTAGCTGGTCCTCTTAGAACTTATTTTTTTTTTTCCCCCCAGATCCTTCATGAGGTTACCTTTTCCCTTTTCTGATTTATTTCCAGCACCTCAATGTCCTTCCTGAGCTGAGGAGCCGAGAACTGGACACAGGGCTTGGAAGGTGGCCTCACCAGTGCCAAGTACTGCAGGGCAATCACTGCCCTGGTCCTGCTGGTCACACTATTCTTCATACAGGTCAGGATGCTATTGGCCTTTTTGGCTACCTGAGCACATTTCTGGCTCATATTCAGCTACCTGTCAAACAGCACCCCCAAGTCCCTTTCTCCTGAGCAGCACTCAAGCTGTTCTTTCCCCAGCCTGTCTTGCTGCGTGAGGTTATTGCAACCCAAATACAGGGCCTGGCACTCAGCCTTGTTGAAGCTCATCCAGCTGCTCTCAGCCCATCTATCCAGCTTCTGCAGAGCCTTCCTGCACTCCTGCAGATCAACACTCCCAACCAACATATGTCCTCTGCAAACTTACTGAGGATGCACTCAACCCAAATCATCGACAAAGATGTTAAACAGGACCATCCGCAATACTGGGCACCGAGGAACAGCAATACTGAATCCTGGGTGTCATTTCACTCAAGTCTAGGATGAAATCACCCTAGCTTTTCAGGAGTGGGGCACCTGTTGCAGCTTACTGCCTTTAGTTGCATAAGGGAGAGTGATTTGTGACTGAGTGTTGTTAAGTGTTGTTGCATCCGACCAGGTTTCCACGTGGATTCCCACAAAACCAAAATGTGAGGGATCATGAGTAAACAGATTAGTTATCAACTGCTGTTCCAGCTGTGCATGTGACAGATGTAAGGCTAAGGAAAACTGGTGGTTGTCTGAGGATTAAAAAATTTTGTTTATATTCATCTTTCCACTACTTGGTTGTAAAATGACCTTCAATAAATTCTACCACTTTATAAGGCCTTGGCTTTCCCATCTATAACTTTAATAGCACTCCCTTAAAAAGCACTTCAAGACCTTTCAAGGAGAGTAATAGGATTTCTCTTTACTAAATTGTTCCATGGCCTAAGAAGCCTTATTTGAAAACAATGGTTTCCTACTGGTTCTTTAATAATTCTAATTAAATATTTAATTAATTTGCAAAGATGGTTGCTTTTCTTTTTGTTTCAATGCTGAGATAGTAACATCTATTTTCTTTCAAAGGAGGAGGTGGTTTGCTATTTTATGTGTTTTCCATTTAGAAAGATGGATAAATAGGAAGATTTTGATATACAGGAAGATTCTGATATAAGATTGCAGACAGAGTTTTACTGGCTATGCATTAATCCTTAACAGAAATATTTTAAACATTTCTGGTTTTGTTTTTCTTGTGTATGTAGAAATAGTTGCTTTATGAAGTCTTTTGTATCAGAGTCCATCCCCATTCCAAACAGCACTGCTTCCTTTGAAATATTATCACTTGCCTTTCTCATCTATATGCTTTCATATAATAAAATGAATGCCTAAGGCAAGATGTCTGTCCTTCAAGGTGCTCTTGGCACCAGTGCTTCCCACCAAAACCAGTGAGAGCAAGGCTGATGGTCATGGGCAGCCTGCTCTAGGTGACCCTGCTTGAACAGAGGGGTTAGAGAAGTTGACCTCCATAGATCCCTTGCCACCTCAACAATTTTGTGATTCTGTGGCACCTCTGACAGTCAGGCCATGGATTTGTTTGTCTTTTCCACTCTGGGGCTGAGTGTTAGTCTGGGAGAACATGGTTATCTTTGTGCTCTCCCCAGGCATGTGACCCTCAGGGGAAATTGAGAATACCTGTGACTGACAGGATGCAAGTTTTGCTCCTGTCTCATCCTTAAAGAGCCACAGAGGCACATGAGGACTTGACAAAAGTGCTGAGGTCATGTAAGGTGTTCATCTTGTCCAGCCTCCATGGACCACAAGGGAGTCACTGCCATAGAACAGATTAATTTGCCTTACAAGGATCAAGGAGATGGTATGTGATAAAGTCCCCCAAAGAAAAAATAGTGTAGCAATGGTGAAATGAATTTTCTCCTGGTTCCATCATCTGTGGAATACAAGGTGCTGGCACATCCTTTGCAGCAGCAGTAGGACTCATACCTTTGAGTCTGTGCACATTGCGACCTCCTTTCACATATCTCTGCCTCACGCTCCCATTAACTCACAGCCCTCCATTCACCCCTGTTTTGTGAGAGAGAGTGCTGATCAGATGGATCTGTAAACCTGCCATCATTCCAGCTGGAAATGTGGGTCTGGTTTGGCCTCTGATCTTTAAGGAGACTTGTTCCTTCTGAGTCATCTATTAGTTTTAATCTATAGATTTGCAAAGGGGGGCTATTTTTGTATCGTGATTGTTACCCTTTAACAATCCAAGAACATGGTCCTGCCAGGAACATGCCCTCTGAGGTCACACAGAAGAAAGAAAGAAGCAGAGAGGATCACAGGGGTGATGCTCACTGTAACAAAAAATTTCAAAGCTGCTGATTCATAAAAAGGATCACAGCTGCCCCATGGGAATGCATCTCCACATACTGTGGAGTTACTCTATGAAACTCATTGTTGCTAGACTGGGACCAAAGCTTTGCAAGAGACAGAAGAAAACCTCTTTTTCTGCTTATTTAGGATGACCAGTTTCATAACAGATTATGAACAACATTTTTTTTTTAAATAAAATACAAAACCTGATGGAAAGAAGGTCAAGTCCAAATACAGGGATGGGGAACAGAGCATTGTTTATTTCTAGCATTTTGCATCTTCTCCAAGATGATTACTATTATCTGCTTCCCTAGCTGGAATTAGGTAAGATTTAGTAACAAAGTTCTTAGGTGCAACTGGGGTTTGGTTGTTTCAGTGTCTGCATAAAAGGAGCTGGTGCTGTCAAGCCTTCTGCCAGTTCAATCCTAAACCTCTCAATAGTTACTGCTAATCATTAACACTGTCAGTAATCAAAGCACTAATGGCCTTGGGGATGGACTCTACCTTTTGAATAGTTTTCTCTAGCAGCGTGGTGCAGCTTCTGGTCAGATAAAGGTTTGAGTGGAGCAAGTGAGCACTGGAGCATTCTGCTTTGCTCTGTTGTGTAGCCAGGTAATAATGGGTGACTGACCCCCAAAACAAACAGCCAGCAGCTGCATGGTTTGCACTGGGATGAAAACTGCTCTAAAAGCAGTGCTGCCATCATTAGCATGTTTGATAGGGAGATAATGCCAAGGAAGACTTTCCACTCTCCTCCTGAGAGGTTTTACTTCTATCCTCTAATGAGTGGTAATGAGTAGTGCAGTCTGTTGGTCTTTTACTCCCTTCTGCATCCTGTGTTAGTGGGAATTTCCAGGGACTCCACAGCTTCAGAAAGCTGCTCTGTTCTCTCCTTTATAGAGAATGAGATGATTTTCCTTAATTGCTCCCAGTCAGTCTGTCTCATTCTTCTTGGGGGTTCTGGATCTATTCCCTTGACAGCTTCTTGCCAGACTGCTGTTTCTGAGAATGCTCCGCCTTCCTTGGGCTGTAGTCTTTTATTCCAACCACTGCTAATCAGTGCATACATATCTGCAGAACATGAAGTAGCTGCTCAACACATTAACTCCTTGGTGACTGGGTAAGTGTCAGACTGGAACTCAACATTCTGCTCCTTAAAGAATATGAAACGATGGGACTTCCTGTTTTCTTCTGGGTGGTCTCTCTGGAAAGGAAGCATTTTGCAAAAGACTAAAAGAAAACCTGATTTTAAGGAGTTGTCTGAGGACCATAAGTTTCCATAGGAAAGAATAGAACAAAATTTCAGTCTCTAGTCTCAGCTAGTGAGTTATTTTGGGGAAAATGAATTGACTACATGAATAGTCATATATAGCCCAATAGAGCAAAAATAGGAATCCTGCACGTGGCTATTCCTCATTCTACCTTAGGGTTTTTTTTTCCCTTTGTGCTTAACAGGAAATCTTGAGCAAATCTAACAGGAGTGGCAGATCTTAGCTTCATCACTGAGTGCATTTTAAGAAATGTGATTCCCTTCATTCCCAGAGAGTGATGTATGGGACTGCATTGTGTCCTCCATTTTCTTTAGAAATTATCCCATCCAAAATCCTAGGGCATTGTCATGGGGCAGGAAGAATTTCAGCTGTTTCACACTGGTGTTGCTACATCAAGATTCTTTTATGGCTGTTAATGATAAGGGCCACTGTGCTTGGTAATCAGCATCTGACTTGCTTTATTCAGTTAATTATTGTGATAGCTTTTGGAAGCTGTCCTTAGATCCCTCAGGTATTTCAGTGTGATCATGTTTTTCTCCCCAGTGTAATTGTATATCCTCATGTTTTTTCTTTTCCTCTTGCCTTTCGATTTTCTAAGTGATATGAAAGTTCTGCTGCCAAGAAGATCAAGAAAGATAAGGTTTATTTTTCCCCATTCTTTGATCTCTAATAAATTTGAGCCAATAAATAATATCTGCTAGCAATTCTTGTGTGTATCACATCTCTCAGGAAACCACTCTGAAATTTCTATAACAATTTAAGGAGAAAAGTATGCTGAAATGAGCCTTCCATTGTCTGTATTTGACCAGGAAATATGACCTTAAATTTATTTATCTTTTAGCAAAAACAAGCTGGTGGCTTTTCAGATCCTAAAGAAAGAGATAATACAGAGAATAATAGGAAGAAGACACTTGAGCCATTTTTATGGGTCTGTGTGTTTACAGAGAGAGCCATCCAGATGATACTGATCCATACTGATGTGTGACTCTGTTAAGGTGGAAACAGAATGTCTTCTTTCAATGGAGGGAAAAGCAAGGATAAATTCCACAAACCCTGGTACTGTGGGGAGAATAAATTTGGAGGATCCAGACACTTTGGGGTGGTAATGTGTAGTGATTAGGCAGAGTGAAAAACTCTCAAAAGACACTGCATGAAGTCCCATATAAAGGCATAGTTGAGTTGTTTACAACTGATTTTGTAACAATGTGTATATAGGGAAAAGAATAAAAAATTGGGCATTGGGCCCTGGGGAAGGTGCTCTGTCTGTATATATATATATATATGTATATTATATATACATATAAGCACACAAATGCACTCACACATCTGCACACTTACTGACATGTGAATGGACACGTTTATGAAAAAAAGTTGCTGTTCTCAAACTGCCAAGAAAGAAGTTTGCCACCATAACTGATGGAAATTAAGAGTCTTGGGCCATGATTAGTAAAAAGTGCCTAAAGAGCATGTGAGAGTTGGATTTCAGAGGTGCCTGTGTAATACCAAGGTTTTATTTGCCTACATATTTTGGTAATTTAAAAGAATGCTAGGTACTTACATCATTTGGGCAAAATTTAACTGTATTTTCCCCTGTCCCAGAAAATCTGCCATTGAATCCAGGTGCAAGAGAGCTAGAGGAGGCCTTGCACTCTTGATATTCAGGCTGCAATGATTTGTTCTTCTTTTCCCTAAACAGGGAAAGTTGAGCGAATCTCCCAGGAATGGCGGAGACCAGCTGGCCACGACTGATTGTGGAGGCTAGTCTTGCCAACTCTTGGTGTGCATTCAGGAAAGGGAACTGCCCTGTTGGCTCTGGAGCTCAAGGGTGGCACGAAAATGATCCAGCAATCTCTATGAGCTTTTAGTTCCTTATCACCCTACTCAAGGAACTCGCTGTTTCTGCCTAAGTGAGACTTGCAGCTTTAGAAGGAATAATCCTGTATATCTTGGCAACAGCTCCGACTTCCCCCGAGGTCTCCGTTATACAAGACCCTGTTGCTTCACACGCAGCACTGTCTGTGCTTGTGGAGCAGTGTCAGGGCTTGAGCGGTCTCTGGGCTGCGGTCACTAGATGGCAACATGGTCACACACAGAGGCACGTTTCCTGTTCCCTTCCTTGGAAGACACATTCTCCTGTGGAAGGACCGAGGACCGGAAGATTGCATTCAACTTCCTTGGCGCCTCAAAGCTTTCTAAGATG